TTTTTTAAGATTTCTCTATTTATGCATACAGAACTGGGGTACAGGCCAGAGGTGTAGGGGTGAGAGGATTCACCAGAGACAGAGTGGGGAGCAGAACAGGTGGACTGACTGAAACACACCACTGAGGGGAGCAGCGGGCGGGGCGGGAGAGGTCTGCCGCGCCATGTGGTCACTCCCGGGCTGGGGATCGAACTCGTGCTGCAGTGGCTGCAGATAACCTCACAGCTGTAGCCTGCTGCGCCACCAGGGAGGGCCCTGTGTTGGAAATTTTTCATTAAAAAGAGTTAATCTAAAGCAAAGGACACAGCGGCACCCACGGTGTCTATGTGGCGTTTCCCGCGCCGGGCCGTGCGCTTCCCAGGTGGCACCTGCTTCACCCACGCTCACCCCAAGGCGGGCAGCTCTGGGACCGCGACCCGGCTGGGGTGAGGACGCAGCAGAGCTCAAGCCTGCGCCCCTCACACACAGGGCTCAGATGCGGAGCCTGCGTGTCTGACAAGCAGCCACCTACAATGTCACCTCCTGATGAGAAACTCCGGATAACGGTATCTGGTCTCAACGCACTGGAAGGAAACTTTCTGCCCTCACCCCCAAAGTGACGGAAGCCCAGCCCAGTTTGAGCGCCCTGTGGTCCCTGCTGCCCCCCCACAGCCTCTGCCCATGGCCAGGGCGCCCTTGAAGGCTTGCAGCTCCCAACAGTGATCCTGGCTTCCAGTCTCGAAAACCACTCCCCAGAGGGCCTCCCTGGTGGTGCAAGGGTTAAGACTTTAACCCCTCAGCCATCACCGCAGGTGCAGCAGACCTCTCCTGTCTTCCCCTCAGCAGTGTGTTTCAGTAGATCCACCTGTTCTGCTCCCCACTCTGTCCCTGGTGACTCCTCCCCACTGTGGCGCTCACCCTAGTTCTTATATCCACAAATTAAAAAACACCCCCTCCCCCCTATCTGCAGCTCCCTGGCCAAAAATCTCAGCCTGATATCCTGGCTCCCTTTGTCCCTAGCTACATGACCTTGGGCAAGGGACACCACATCTCTGCCTCAGTCTTCAGACCTGTAAAGTGGGCCAGTTACAGCACCTACCTCTAGGCTTGTTGTGAAAATCAGTAGGGGTAATGTAAGGAAAGAACTTGCCTTGCTCCGGGCATCTAGTAGGCACTGAATAGAGGCTCCTTTCCACAAGGGGCCCCGATGCCTCCCTCTGCCCTCCCTTACATCCATCTGCCCTCCCTTACACCCCCCAGCCTCCCTCGTCTGACTCCTGGGCCGGCCTGGGGTCAGGCCCTCAGTAACCTCCACCAGACTTACCCCCTGGGAGTGCAGATACTCCACGGTCTTGCTAATGGTGTGCAGGACGAAGCTGGCCTCCCGTTCCGAGAAGAATTTCTGCCGCAGGATCTTGTCCAGCAGCTCCCCACCTCGCATCAGCTCTGTCACCAGGTACACGTGTTTGCCGTCGTCATACACCTGCGGAGGCCTCACCGTCAGGGCCTCCCTTGACGTCAGGCGTGGCCCCTCGGTGAGCAGCTCACCAGGAAGGGACGACACAAGCTGGACGTCCCTGTGCTCCGTGCAGGTGGCCCACAGGGCCTTTGTCTCCCTGGGCCCTGGCCTCCCTAGACAGGAGGACGCTGGCCCTGCCAGAGGGCAGGAGAGCACTCAGGGATTCGGAGGCTGAAGTGGGGGCCCAGGGGGGTGCAGCCCGGCAGGAGGCACCGAGAGGCTCCCAACGAGGGGAGGAGAGTCAGTGTGGGAGAATGGCAGCCCCGAGGCAGGTCCTACCCTGCAGTACCTCATCCTCGCGAACCCCCACTCACATCTTTCAGAGTGATGATGTTGGGGTGCTGCCCGTACCGCAGAAGAATCTCTATCTCTTCTGAGGGATCCCGCTTGCTCTTGTCAATGACCTGAGGAAACGGGGTGCACGTGGCCGTGTCAGGGGGACAGATGGCAGACTCGATCCCCGCCCGGCGTCCATGCCACAGGGCTGGGGCTCACACCGTCACCCACCCAGGCCTCGGGCACCGACCCCGCCCAGAGCCCCACCTTGACAGCATACTCCATGTTGGTGGCCTTGTGGACACAGCGATTACACACAGAGTAGGAGCCCACACCGATCATCTCCTTTACCACGTAGCCGTCACTGAACACCAGGTTTTTCCCATGGAGTTGCTGTGGGAAACCAAGAGGTGGAGCTGAGCCCCTGTGCCAGCGCTCAGGCGCCCAGGGCTTGTGCCGTGGCTCAGTGGGGATCAGGCAGGACCAGGAGGCTGGGGGGAGCTGCTGTGTCTCCCGGGCTGACGGTCTGCACCTCTCTGGGCCTGTTGCTGCCCTGTACAGCATGCTGCTCCCGGCTCCCCGCTTGCCTAAGGCAGTCAGAGCGTGGCCGAGGAGACGGGGCAGTCGCCGCATGACCACCGGGTCTTTGAGAAGCCCGGCAGACTGAGAGGGACAGCGGATTGCCGAGCCTGCTGTGACCTAGAGGAGCTGGCTGCCCTCCTGGGGAGTCACAGCCCTCCTGGGGGCCATCGCAGGTTCCGAGACCCTAACTGGAGATGCTCCCTTTGGTCTGCTGTGCAGCGGGCCCTCCTCGCTGTCCATCAGGGGGACACCTGCTGTCCCTGATCTGGGCTGGCTTGACATGTGTCCTGGACTAAGAAGTCCCAACTGGACAGTAAACTACATAGTCACCTCAACCTACACATTTAAAAAAAAGATTTATTTATTTATGCATAGAGAGCTGGGGTGCAGGCCAGAGGTGCAGGGCGGTGAGAGGACTCACCAGAGACAATGGGGAGCAGAACAGGCAGATCAACAAAGTACACTGCTGAGGGGAGCAGCGGGCGGGTCAGGAGAGGTCTGCCGCGCCATGTGGGTCACCTCCGGGGCAGGCGGGGATCGAACTTGCACTGAAGCGGCTGCACAGCCAGCTTGCAGTGCTGTGCTCTAACACACTGCGCCACCAGGGAGGGCCCTCAACTTGTACATATTTAACAAATCTAAAACTCACAAGAACTTTATGGAGAAAGGTTCTCTTATCACCCCATTTGTATGGGGCACCAGGAAAGCCAGCCCTCTCCTTACCTAGAAAGCTCAGAACCCAGGCAAGCTCCAGAGTCTACATTCTTGCCTCTAAGTTCCAAGTGTCCCACAGGGCCAGGGGAAGTGTACAAATGGCAGGAAAGTGAGTGGCAGTGCGACACCCCAGCACCCCAACCTGGGCACCCCTGGCATTTTTCCAGGCCCTCCCATGTCCTGGTTCAGCACTGGTAAATTAATATCCATGCTGTCATCTCCTTTACAAGTGGGGAAACAGAGGCACAGGGTGATTGGAGGCTTAATGGACTCCATTTGGCATCCAGGCTTGAGCCCAGTGCTGTCCAAGTTCAGAGCCTGTGTTCTAGACATTCTGCCCTGTGCTTTTAGCTAGAAAAGGCAACCGAGCAGCAGCCTCCTGCCTCCTCACCTGCACCACCGCGTTCAGTGGGGCCTGAGTGGTCCGAGGTTTGCCATCGTCCTCCATCAGGCCAGTGGCCACGAAGCTGAAGCCTCTGAACAGCTGATGGGCGCCAGCGCTGGGGGGAATGCCTGGGGAGTCTGTAGGGGTGGGAGGGGGATGTGAGCCTGAGGAGGGCCCCTGGACCCCAAGGTAGCCCAGCAAAGGCCACAGGGCTCCGAGTCTCCTTCTGGCAGTAGGAGTGTGCGAAAGGCCGCTCCACCCCAGGCCTCAGTTTGTGCATCTGTTCACGGTGTTTAGACCAGCCCCCTCCTGACATATGAAGAACAGAAGACGCCCACATCCAGTATCTGGCTCTGGCCAAGACACTTCACTCCTTCCCTGTAAGGCCTCACGACCGCCTCATGACTGCCCTTCGGTCCAGCTTCTGTGGAGCAGCCATGGGAATGGTCGCCGTCTCAAGCCCACCATCCTGCCATGCTCCTTTGCCCTCAGGACAAAGCCCAACTGCCTTGCCTGGCTACTGAGGTTCCTGTGATCTTTGTTCTCTCCCCACCCACTGCTCAGCCACACCAGACTGTTCAGAGCCTTCTGGGAGGGGTCTCTGAGCCACCGCACGTGCTGTTCCCCCTGACGAGGTGACCACACTTGGTTCTTCCAGGCCCGGCGCCATGCCCTCCCGCGAAGCCTTGCCTGAAGCTGCTCCTAGCACCCACCAGTTAGGCTACACGTGCCGCACTTCCCAGGAGCTGTCTTCATGGCCCACTACAGCTAGAACCCCATGAAGCAGCCCCGGGGCCATCTTGTTCACCTCCTACCCCCCAGTGGCTGGCACACACCAGCATCCTGGCACATTTTTGTCGAGTACATGAAGCTGGTCAAACTGTCAGGTCCCACCAAGCTCTTGCCCAGGAGCCCCGCCCCCCCCGACTGTCACTGCACACCCAGAGGGATCTGTGACTCTGCCTTGTTCTAGATGAGAACACCAAGGCCCTGCGGTCAGAGAGGCCAAAGCCGATGCCCACACACGCCCCGACCTAGTCAGATTCTTTAGCCCTGATGTAAGGGAGAACCTGACCGATGTGTGTGGTATTCCCAGTGGGCTGGAAGTTGCCTAGGGCCCATCACCCCCCACCCCTCACCCAGACACAAAGAAGCCCATAGAGTCCCGGAGCAGGAGAATTAGGCAAAAAGACAGACAGAGACCCTCCCTTGACTGCCCATACACCTGGGGCCACCCTGGCACCTCGGAGGTGCCCAAGCGCCCAGCTGCCCTCCAGTACCAGCCCAAGACACATCAGACAAGGGGGCACCTCTGGGTGTGCGGGATGTGAATTCGGTGTCAAAGTAGAAGGTGTCATCAGGCTGAGCCACAGCCGGCTTGAAGGGTGGCTTGATCTCGCGGCGGTACAGCTTCTGCAAGGCAAAGTGGGCGCTCCGGTCACCAGGGCGCCCCCACCGGCCCGCAGGAGCCCACGCAGGAGAAGGAAAGAAGGGCGGCACTGAGGCAAGGCAGCCGTCCAGGGCCCTGGAGAGGGCCAGCCGCTCGCCCCGCCCTGGCTGGGCCCGGGAGAAGCAGCACTCACATTCCAGTCGATGGTGGAGTAGAAGATGTGCCGCTTGATCTCCTCTGCCCCGTCGGGGCCCGAGCCTAGAAGGGTGCAGATGAGGGTCGGCCCCTGGGTGCGCCCGCACACCTGTCCTGTCCGCCAGGCGGCCCACCTTGCCTGGGACCCGCAGTGGCACAGTCCACTCGAACGAGGGGGAGAGGCTGGACTCAGGTGCCAAAGCCACCCAGCCATCACCCCAGAGCCTCCAGTCCATTCAGCATTTCCACTTTCTGGAGCTGCTTATGCGCAAGGACATTGGGGTCCTGCTGGGCGCAGGGGGGCCGCCTGTCCAAGGCCACACGGGCAGGACACAGGAAGACTTGTTCCGAGGTCTGTGTGCGCCCCTTGACCCCCACCTGTGTCTCATCTCTACAGTCTTCTCCCCTTGCCCCGACACCCACAAACAGGCTCTCACGTCACCATCCGGGCGGCCACACTGGACCTTCCGTGGGAAGCTGGTCATGGCCCAGGCGCCCCCAGCGCCCAGAGCCAACACATACGGAACAGCTCCCGCGCAGCTCACATGACTTCCCTTGACCCACGCGCCCACCAGCTGGCGGCGCATCCTGGCCTCCGTGTTGGCGAAGGTGAGGCCACCGCTCCCCACCCCGGCCAGGCACTCGTTCATCGGACGAGCGCTCATGGAGGGCCGCTGGGTGCCAGGCAGTAGGGACCTGACACGGGGCCAGCACCGGGCCCTGAGGCTTCTGACACCAGAGCTCACGCTCGCTCTCCTGCCAGCAGCTTTGGCAGAGGAGCTGAGTGGGGGCCTCTGTCCTTGTCCCCAGGGGGAGTGGGAATGACTCAGTTCCTGCCTCCCCCTCCATACACAGGTCACCCCCGTGCCCCACACACCACACATGGAGCCAGGAATCAGGGCGGCCGCCGGCATTGTCTGCCCACACAAAGGACAACGGCCCCTTTCAGTCCCAGATGTGGCCCCGTGGCCTAGGCTGCAGCTGTACCCCACTCCCCGCCCCTGGGCTGGGGCTGCTTACCGAGCCGGTTGGCAGGATTCCGCTTGAACAGGGCCCGCAGGAGGCTCTGGGCTTCCGTGCTCAGAAACTGGGGCATGCCTAGCTTCGCCCTGAAACAGCCCGCGGGTCTCATGAGCGCTGGGCCCCACCCCAGAGGCCCACCGCCCCTCCTCCCTCACCCAGGTCTAGCTTCCAGCTCAGTCCAGACAAGTCATCCACTAGCTCACCTCCCAAAGACTTCAGGGGTCCCTCCCACAGCCCGGGGGGACAAAAGGGAGCCCTGGAAGGCATAACACATTAATGGAGGAACCTGAGGCAGGTACAGGGTAATATTCTGGCCCCCAAACTGAGGCTGCGGATGAAGGGAGCCCCTGAGGTGTCAGGGAGGGACACTGATGCTTACTTCAGGATCAATGTCATGGTCTCCTTCCGGTCCTTCCCCTGGAAGGGCAGGGAGCCCGTCAGCATCTCAAACTGCGGAGGACAAGGGTCTATTCAGGCTCTGGTCCCTGACTCCCACACTCCCTACCTCCTCCTGCTCAGGCCGCTCAGCTCCATCCCCTGGATTTCTGCAGGCCTGCTGGAGGCCCGAGCCCACCTGGAACGAGACTCTCGTGCCTGCCCCTCGCCTCTCTGTCAACAGCACCTCCCAGGGCAGCACTGTGGACTGCAGGCTGGGAGAGGCCTGGTCCCGGGCTGGGGTCACACCCTCTAGGGGCCAACCACGGGGTCCTTCCAAGGAAGGTTCTGAGCTGAGTGGAGGGTGAGGTCAATGTGGCTGAGAGAGGAGAGGAGGGCCCCACTCACTGTACAGATGAGGAAACTGAGGCCCAAGGCCTGGCCCGGATACTTTACCTGGGCCTGGGCACTTACCATCAACACCCCATAGGACCACCAGTCCGCACTGTGGGTGTGGCCCTGGCGGCTGACAACTTCAGGGGCCATGTACTCCACCGTCCCGCAGAAGGAGTAAGCCTTCTTCTCGTGGTCAATGGCCTCCTTGCTCAGACCAAAATCTGTGGCAGGGGGGGTAAGAGGACACACTTCAGGGTGGCCTGCCTCGCTCACTGCTACCCCTGCAGCTCCACCCCACCCCCGGCCCAGAGGCCCGAGGGCACCACCTCCAAGAAACTTAGAACAAGTTGGCCCTCCCAGCTGGCCACAGCCGCCTCAGAGCGAGTTTGATCTCCACCCTGGAGCTGACCCACATGGCGCGGCAGACCTCTCCTGGCCCGCCCGCGGCCCCCTCCTCAGCAGTGTGCTTTGTCCATCTACCTGTCCTACCCCCCACTCTGTCTCTGGTGAATCCTCTCACCACCCCTGCACCTCTGGCCTGTACCCCAGTTCTGTATGCATAAAGAAATACATCTTTAAAAAAGAAACGAAACTTAGAACTAAGTTGAGGCCCAGGGAAGTTAACTGAGTCGCCCGAGGGTAGAGTGGGGAGTTGGGATTCAAACCTAGGCCAGCCCTTGTCTGGGCCTGGGCTTTCGGCCACTTTCAAGGGCCTGACACAAGCTCTCAGGAAAAGCAATCCAAGGTACTCAGCCCGACCAGTAAGAGCCCCACCTGCCTTGCCCTGTGACCAGCGGGGTGGGTGTCCCCACTCACCAGTGAGTTTGATGTGGCCCTCCTCATCCAGAAGGATGCTGTAATAGAGAGATGGAGTCAGGGTCCCTCAGCCGTGGCCCCTCAGTGGGTTCTTGTGACACCACAGGCCCTGGGAAGGTGCTCTACCACGCCCAGCCGGTGGGTGAGTGGGTGAGGTGGTGGCAGGGTGGTACCGCATGGGTGTGCTGCCTGCCCTTTTTGCTAATCCTTAAAAGAACTGTGTGTGGCTGGTTCTATTATGGCCCCATTTAACAGTGGGGAAATTAAAGCTCAGGGAGGCTAAAGTAACGCTCCCTGGTCACAGCCACTAGATAGCGGAGTCAAGATCTGAATTTGGTCTAACTCTAAAGTCAGATTTCTTTCCACCCCAGCTCCTGTCCTGGTTCCCAGGCTACCATCTGAGGCTATTTAGATGTTAAGGAAAATTCTAGAGAGGGCCATATCAAGGAATGACCTTCAGCGGCAGAATTTCAGATATCCTATCGGTGAGCCTAACAGGCAGGCAAAGCACTATAAGGAGGCGCTGGAGATCAGACAGCCCACAGCGGGCCTGCTGCCACCCACCCCACCCACGCACGGGGCTTTTAGGCAGAGTCATGCCCGCATCTGTCAAGGTGGCCCTGTCCTTGAAGAGACTCAGGGTCTGCCTCTGCACGCCCTCGGCAGGCTGGAGCGGGGCTGGGGACTTCACTCACTTCTCCGGCTTGAGGTCTCTGTAAATGATGCCCAGGCTGTGCAGGTGGTCCAGGCCCAAGGCCAACTCCGCCAAGTAGAACTTCACGTCCTCCTCCGTGAACATAACCTGCGACAGCGGGAGGGGCACTGGGCAGTTGGCAGCAAGGCCTGGTCCGGAGGGTCCACCCCGGGGAAGAGCCTTAGCGATCCCGTGTGATACCCTTCCCTTTAAAGGGATTTGAAATACAAAGTGACCATAATACAGGTCACTCCCTGGGGTATTGCTGGGAAATAGCAAAAAGCTGGAAACAGCTCAAAGGATCAAACAGTAGATACCAGAATCCACTGCCTCTCCCCAAATAACAGCGATGGAGTATTACACAGCCATGAACTAGAACAAGCAGGTCGCCAGGTTCTGAGATGGATGAATCTCCAAGATAACCTGTCTTGCAAAAAGCAAGGTACAGAATAGTCTACACAGAATCCTACTTTTTATGTAAGATGGTAGGGACATTAGTTTGTATTTGCAAAATATGGGGAGTTTAGGCTAGAACCCAATAAAAATATTAGCACTACTGTGGGTGGGGGGCTGTGGTGGGAGGAAAACTTCTCATTAATTTTCTTTTCCATTATGTAAACATATGGCCTATTCAAACATTAAAATAACCGTTTAAAGGTTTTTTTTAAATATGGCGCTCTTTTAAAATTTGGCTTATGTTAACAGTCCCATTTGTATATCGGACTCAAATCCTTCAGAGTCCTTTTGGCTCACATATGGGACATGCTGTTAAAGCATCTAGCTTTCTGGGTGGACTTGGGCTTCCCATCCTCAGGGCCCTGCCTCCCTAGGGCAGCCCTGGGAGAATGGAGCAGTGAGAGCCACGCTCAGCTCCCCGGACTCAAGCCGGCCTCAGACCCAGGACCTGGTCCTCTTTGGCCCATTGTGGGGACACACTCGGGATGTGGGCTGTAACCCAGAGTGGGTGCATTTCCTGGGTCAGGAATACTAGGCAGGCTCTGGTGGTTGAAGGTCCAGGACACACTGGACATGCCTTAGGACAGGGGCATGTCCATCTAGGGTCCTAGGATGGGAGACCTCGTTGTCTCCCCAGTTCCATACAGGCAGTGGGGTGTCAGCTTACCTCTTTAGAGAGCCGAGTGAAGAGGTCCCCACCACGCAGGAAGTCCAGAATAAGATAGAGCTTGCCTTCTGTCTGGAAGGCTGGGGAAGGGGAAGACCATAAATGAGCCAGTTGGGTCCTAAGCTCTGCCTGCTGCCCCAGCAACCTTGACCTGCCAGGTGGGGGGGTGGGGCAGCAGCCCCCACCAGGGAGAAGCAAAGGCTGGCAGGGAGGGGGCGCTCAGGGAGGGCCTGTGTCTCACCATAGTGCAGCTTCACCACAAATGGGTGGTTTACATCGGCCAGAATGTCTCTCTCCATCTTGGTCCGCACGCGGTCACGCACTGGCCAGAGGAGAAAGGCGGTCACCCACCCAGCACAGACACTCCCAGCCTTGCTGAGCAGGGCTCTCTGGCCACTTTCTCCAGTGCCCAGGGCTGGACCCTCAGCACACTGCCCATCTTTCTAGACTGTCTCCCAGAAGCCCCATGGGGGGCCACCCAGTCTAGCAAGCGTGAGCAGACTGTTCCTCGTGCATGCTCAACCACTGACCCCAGGAGGGCAGGCCCCCACCTGTGCGCCACCTGCAGAAACATCCCCCATCCAGGGTGGTGAGGACAGTGACCTGGGGTCTCTCAGAAAGGCGGTCTATTAAACTCAGACTCCTCCCCCAGCCTTACCCACTTTTATTTTTTTAAAGAAGAAAGTCCCTAGGTCATTCCGATCACCAGCAGGTTCTTGTTTGACTCAGTTCAAGCGTCACCTCCTCCTAGTCATCTCTAACCTGCCAGGCTGAGTGAGGCCCCAGGGCTGCGCCTCTTCCTTACCCTTTATTTAAATTTCTGACTCCCTTCCCAGACCCAGCAGGGACCAAACTGAAGTCAACAATCCTAGTCCTGCTTCCCAAGCGCACTTCATCTTTCCAAACCACCCCCACACTTCTGCTCAGGCACGCAGTTCCTCCTTGCTGGGGTACCCTTCCGCTACTCATCCTTGAAGGCCTAGTTCAAGTGCGGACACCCTGTGTGGCCGCAGGCCACGGCCCCTGGGTCCTGTCACACATCGACTGTTCCACTCTGTGGGTCTGCTCAGGCTCTCCCCACAAGGAGCCCTACCCCAGGCCTTCACAGCAGCACCGAGTCTTTCTAGACTTTTCCTCCAACCATCTCTCCCACCCCTACCAGGCCAACCTCGGGGTCCCAGTTACATCACCCCACAGACAGTTATTCATGAGCCACAGACGCCTCATGGCCCAAGGCTGGCACTGCTGACTCCCACCTCACCCCAGCCAGGGCCCAGTCCACCTGGCAGTGGCTGCACTGGTTCCCAGGCTGGTCAAAGAGTCACTGCCCAGCCCAAAGCCCACCACCAAGCACCTTCACACTTAGTCCAGGAATTTCAGGCTCTCTGCCATCCACCCCTGTGGTGTCCAGTCACCCTCTCCCACCTGCCCAGCTCTCTTCCCTCACGCCATCCTCCTGAGGTTTCCTTCCAATTGCTCCAGTCAGGAAAAGTCTGCGGACAGAGGCCTCTGCCCAACCAACCTGCTGCCTAACTGTCAAGGACCCCCGGGACAAGCACTGTACCCACCCCACCGCTTCCTTCCAGGCATTTACCATCCCCTGAGGTTTGCACTGTCGGCGGGGGCGGGGCTGATCCTTGGAATGGACCGTGAGGTCACCATCATGCAGGGAGGGGGTGAAGGGGCAGGTGAGACCAGGCGCCCCTGGAGATACAGCTTCCACCTCCATCAACCTCCAGGCCCTTAAGCGCTGGGCTGTCTCCCTCGCGTGCCCACCTATGTTCCGTGGGGGAAGGGGCTCCTGCCCGCCTATGTTCCGTGAGGGAAGGGCTCCTGCTCACCTTTCAGCGTTGCCTTCTTCAGTACCTTCATGGCATACAGGTGCCCGCTGTCAGGTCGGGTGACCTTCCGCACCAGGAAGACCTGGGAAAGCAGCCGGGGACAGGGAGAGTGGGGAGAGGCTGGGGAGTGGGCTCCCATCCTTGATCCCAGGACAAGCTCTAACTTTGCTGAGCCCCGAGTTGACCTTGTGCCATTTCTGTGTGCCAAGCTGACCTCTCCTCCTCTGGCAGACCCATCAACCCTTGCTCTCTGACCCTTCAGCCCCGAGGCTGCCCTTCACCCCAACCTGTGTGATGACGATGCTGCCCACCCAGCTGGGGGCTCGGGACTCACTTTGCCGAAGGATCCTTGCCCCAGGACCTTGAGGAGCTCAAACTGGGAGGGGTCAGCCTTTTCAGAGCCAGCCTTGACATGGTGCGTGATGGAGATCTCCTTGAGGACACCTTCATCCTAAAGGAGGGGTAGGCCGGAGGGTGTGGAGGACCGCAACAGGGCCAGCACGGGGTGTCCCCCCGCCCAGTCTAAGCCACTCCCACCAGGCCTCTGCAGGCAGGGCCCAGCAGAGAGTAGCCCTGAGAGGCCAGTCCCAAGGTCAACACCACGAGGCCTCAGAAGTGAGGGAAGGTGCCGCCCCCGCCGCTCCTCCTACTCTTGCCCGGTCAGGTGCAGCCTGGGGTTGACACCCACAAACCTAACCCAGGCCCCCCCCACCCCCGCTACAAAGAGTTTAGTCTTGCCAGAGTAGGAAGTAGAGTTTGTTCTTACTTTGGTGAGATAAAAGTTTGGCTTTTGTTTTTGGTCAGGATGGATGATGGGATCCTTCCTGCCAGTCATGGGGCTCAGTTACCCAGGGACACCAGAGTCACCCCGGACTCCCCCACTGACCCAGCAAATGCCAGTCTGGGTGAGTGGGAGCTAAGGTCAGACTCTGTCCACCTCCAAACTCACTCACACACGTCTACAGGATGCTCCTCGCGGGCTCCACTTGTCTAAGGACCTCTCTGTCCTCCCTCCAGCCTGCTAGTCTCACCGCCCGGGAGCCTAGGAGTGACAAGTGTCTCCTCACCTCCCTGGGAAGCAAGTCTGGGCAGGGTCCCATCACCCAGCATGGTCCAGGCCAGGCCAGCAGAGTCCAGTGCTAGCCCCGGCCAGACTGGTAGCTCAGGCACCTGCTTCCAGGGCCACTGCATGGCCGGGCCCCGACGACATCTGGGCACACTCACCGAGTCCCGCCTGGGGCCAGAGCCAGGGCCAGGGGGAGGCCGGGAACCCGGGCTGATCCTGGGCCGCTGCCTCCTGGGTAGCCAGGGGAGCAGGGCCCAGAGCCACAGACGGGGCGGCTTTGGATCCGGCTCCATCCGCCCGGCAGGGCCAAGGCACCATGGCAGGAGCCGGCAACGTCCAAGCAGCGCGGAGGCGGCCGGGCCCAATGCGGATGTGAAGGGTAAGAGAGGGGCAGGGCCCAGCTCAGGGCCACCAATCACTTAGGGCCTGTGGTTTCCCTGCTTCAGGCTTAAACCCTCATCTCCTTCCCTTCCTCTCCCCCACCAGTTGCCTGAGGGCTGCCCTTAGGCCTTCCCCCACCCTCCTGCCAGCTACCAAGGGAAAGTCCAGTGCCATCCCAGCTGCTGAGGAGTAGATAGGTACCCAACGGGCAGAGAGAGGAGCATGACATGTTGCGGCAGATAAAGAAGACACCCAACACGCTGAGGCAGGCGCCCAACAGGTGAAGACAGATAAAAGGGGACATCCAACAGGCAGGGGCAGGAGGGTGCCCTGACCCAACAGGCAGAGACAGCTGGGGACACAGTCCCACAAATAGAGTCGGGAGGTGACCTAAACGTCACAGGCAGGGTGGTCAGAGACGCATGCCCAACAGGCAGAGACAGAAGGCGACATGAACCCAAGGGACACTCAACGCGCGCCCAGCACCCGACAGGTGAAGACATGACGTGAAGGCAGACAGCAGCCCGGCCGCAGAGGCAGGGCGCAGGGGAAGCCAGGGCTGGAGAGGCCCCGGGAGACTGGCAGGCATCCAGGCAGGCCACAGGCAGGAAGGGGTCAGGCCTGGACTTGCAGGCAGAGCTCTGGGTTCCTGCTAGCCTGCCTGGGGCTGAGGAAAGGTGAGGGGACATCACCTGAGAAACCCTGGTCTCTGCAGCAGACCTGTCTCTAAGGTCTTCCGATTTTCTGGGATTTTCTTCCCCTGCAAGGGCCTGAGGAGGGCCCAAGTAACAGGCTAGCTTGAGAGGGACAGATCCTGAGGGCAATCTGCTGGCTTTGCCTCTGGTGCAAATGCCCCAAAAGTTGTTATCCCCATCTCAAGGGCTGGAAACTGAGGCCAGAGGACAGTGACTCAGCCGGGCCCAAAGAGAGCCAGTGGCAAAGCTGACTGGAGCCCAAGTCCTTCCTCCGGTTGCGGCCAGCCTCAGTGCGGGAAAGGGTGGGCAAGCAAGTCAGCCAGCGCCATTTCCTGTCCATCCCGCACACCCCCTCCCTCAATCTGGGGACTTCTCATTCCAAGTTTGACCCTCAGAGACACAGCCCCAACTCCAGGGGACCCTGCCTGACCGGTGAAGGGCTACATGTAACAGCCACAACATGCTCACGCCCCTGGGACGACCCCTGGGTGGGACCGGCAGAAGGCCCGGCTGCGAGAGGGTAACACCACACAGCAACGCTGCCCACCACACTCTGAGGTCTGAACCCCCACCTGACTGCCCGCCTCTGACGATGAGCAACTCCCTGGAGGGAGAGGCAGTCACCCGGAAACCCCAGGGGACAGAGCCACCCCCATGCTCGTGCCAGGCCCAGAGTCCTGGTGGCAGATCCAACCTGGGGGCAGGCCAACCCTCTGCTCACCTTTCTGGGGCACGGGGCCGAGTCTCTCTCAACCCTGGGGAAATCTGCCGGGGTCTGCATGGTGGGGTTCAAGTCAGTGGCCAGAGGGCCCCGCTACTCCCCTTTTACTTCTGCTTTTTCAGGCGTACTGGCCCAGAAGGCAGGGTCCCTGACCCCTTCCTTTTCACTTCCCTCTCTGCAGGGAGGAGGGACAGAAGATGAGTCCAGTGATGAGGAGGGGACAGTATAGACCCCAACATCATGACCCCAGGGGACAGAGCAGAGGGGCAGAGCCCGCCTCGTCTCCTCTGAGCCTCCTCTGGAGACTGGAACACAGACAGAAGTCACAGGGCGATGAGACAGGGGCAGTGTGGACACCCCAGCACCTGCAAAGACCCCCTGAGAGGAGCGGGAGGTGGCAGCACAGTCACTGTCTCTGGCTGCCCTGGCAGAGCAGACACCTGCTCACTGTGGCCTTCGGTGCTGGCCCACCCAAACGGCAGCCCTCGGAGCAGGCAGCACCGGGCTCAGTTCTGCCCTGAATAAGTCTGCCTGTCCAGAACCCGGCGAGCGTGAGGGGGCAGGACCCCAGCAAGGCGCTCTTTGAGGTCTGAGAGGTGTAGAATCTGGGGCCCGGGGTTCCTGACAGGCCCGGCCCCTTTGCACATGGCCTCAGCTTATCGCTCAACACCACATACCCACAGGAAGTCTCACACACACACAGCCAGTGATCGGAAGCCGTGTCCACAGACATCCCCTGTGTGGCAACACACGTCCCCGTGAGCACACCCGGACTTCCCCTTCCCGTCCTCCCCAGCCTCCTGGAGCAGCGTGGTGATGGCGGTGGGAGCGGGAAAGGCACTCCGTAGTCAGGCCTCTACCGCACCCCACTTCCACAGGTAGGATTTGGAGGCTGGCACAGCCCCAGGAACCCTAACATCCTTAGGGCCAGGGCCAGGTCAGCCGCCCGGCCCTGAGTCCCTCTGGAGAAGACTCTGTGGCAAGCAGGGTACAGGAAGGACGCAGGCTGGCTGCCCTCACTGCGGTGTGTGCAGGCCAGAGGCCTCCGTGGCAGGAGCACAGGCAGCAGCCACAGCCCTCAGCCCCTGCCCTATTCCCCCATTGATACTTCCTCTTTTTTACTTCCTCCCGCAAGGCAGCTGGGAGAGAAGCTCAGAGACCCCTACTCACCCCACCCAAGACTAATCCCTGGCGCCAGGGCCCCCACCCGGGGCTCCTTATACCAGCTGCAGCCAAATCCACCTGCCAAATCCCTGACAGACCGGGTCACCTACTTCTCCTTCCCCAGCAGGTGGCATCTGCAGGGCCTCTCAGGCATTGCCCGCACCCCCCACCCCCAGTGGAACAGATGTCCCCAGAAGGGCCTCCCAGCCTGCCTCTGGGCAGGTGAGGAGGGTCCACAGCCCCGCGGTCCTGGAGGGGTCATTAGGTCAGGACGGGCATGGAGCGATGATGACAGCTGTCTCTTGACCACTGAGCACCTCCTGCCATCTGTTCCTTCAACCTTCGTGGTTTCTGCCGGGCCCTGTGCCTTTGCGCCAAGGAAGGAGCTATCACCCCATTTCCAGAGATGTGGAAAGCCAAGAAAGTGACTCGCTCAAGGCCACGCAGCCAGAAAGGAAAGCGCCCTCCACCTGTGTCCAAAGCCTGCAGGCCTGAGCATTTCACCCTCTCTGCAGGGACTGCAGACGCAGAGGCCACACGCTGAGGCGCTCTGGTGCAGTCCTCCCCCAAGTACACACTAACTACACACCCTGTCCCTCTGCAATCAAGGCTCTATGGGTGCCCAGAGCAGGTAACGTCTGCCCAGTGGGCTCAGGAAGACCTTCCGGGGAGGGGTCATGCCACTGCACCCAAAAGACGAAAAGGAGTCAACCGAGGGGAGCAGAAAGAGTCGGTTCTGTAGAGCCGCCAGTGTGAGCAAGGGGCCAGCCAAGGCAGCGAAGGGCCAGCGTGGGAAGTTTGGAGCTGACCACTGACTACTGAGCGCACCCAGGCAAATCTCGTCCCTACCTGAGCCTTAGTTTTCTCCTCCATAAAACAGAGGTTAACACTAGATACTCCACCAGCAACAGGTTGTTTCTAGAAGCAAAATGGGCTACAGAGACAAGGAAACATTGTAAACAGAGCTTCTCCCTGAATTAGCTGGGAAGACTCATTGTCATGGGGTCTCCTGTGGTCAGGCGGGAGGGACGGAGCCCAGCCACAGGGTGGCGGGAGGGTGGGCTGGCCCACCCTGGTCAGTTCAGGGGACACTCCCCCAACACCTGAGATTGCCCAAGGCTCCCCAAAGTCCAAAGTCACATCCTGCCTGAGCTCTAGCCAGGGGAGCATGAAGGATCCGGAGGGATCAGGGTTTCATAAACAGGAAGAGAGGAGGGGAGGGGGGAGACACTCAGCTCTCAAAATAGACCTGCAAAGGGGTCCAGCTCCGGAGATAGCTGGGGGAGGGGGCTGGGGTGCCCGGTCCACCCCAGGAAGGGAGGGAGAGTGAATGAGCCCCAGTGTGCCTGAGGGTACCAGGTGGCCCGGGGCTGAGGGGGTCCAGGCAGCTCTCATCTAGGCCAGCTGCCCACCCATGGCCGCTAAAGCCCACTCCCCCTTCTGCCTAAAATGAATAAAATAAACACGCATTAAACACCAATCTTGCAGAATCTTTGCTTTTGAGGCTTCACATTCCCTCATCTGGGTGGACTTGAGAGGTTGACTCTGGTCTCCTATTCCAACAAAGAATCTGAGGGGCGTCCCTGGTGGCACAAGGGGTTACGTCTCAGCACTAGGAAGCTATCGGCAGCCGCTGCAGCATGGAGTCTGATCCCCGGCCAGGGAGCTGCCCCACACAGAGCAGCAGACCTCTCCTGTCTCGCCCACTGCTCCCCTCAGCAGTGTCTTTCAGTCAATCTGCCTGTTCTGCTCCCCACTCTGTCTCTGGTGAATCCTCTCACCCTCCCCCTGCCCCCACACCTCTGGCCTACAGTCCAGCACTTGCATGAATAAAAAAAAAAAAAAAACCTGAGCCTCAGAGGGGCAAACCAGGTTTTTATTTGTTTTTTAAAGATTTATTTATTCATGCATACAGAACTGGGGTACAGGCCAGAGGTGCAGGGATGGTAGGAGGACTCACCAGAGACAGAGTGGGGAGCAGAACAGGCAGATCGACGAAGTGCACAGCTGAGGGGAGCAGCGGGCGGGTCAGGAGAGGTCTGCTGCGCCATGTGGGTCACCTCCAGGGTAGGGATCAAACTTGCACTGAAGCGGCTGCAGCCAGCTTGCCGTGCTGCACTTTAACCCACTGCACCAATGAGGGCCACTACTAGTCCAGGCTATAAGGCCAACAAGAAGGGGGGGGCTTCTGAACCCAGAACAGCTGACTCCCAGCTCCCCTTCCTGCCTCTTCTCCCCCGGAAGGCCACGGCTCTCTCTGCTCACAACCTGCCCGCCGAGCCCCAGCCAAATGGCCACTCTGTGGGAAACACGGCCTGGTGCCCCAAAACCCACCCTAGCTCTTCTGACCCCCCACATGCATCCGCAGCCATCCGCCTGGTCCACTTCGGCCCTGGGCACAGATGCCACGGTGACATGCAGCCTCCTGGAAGGTGGTGTTTCTCTGCCCAGCGTGGCACCTGGCAAAATGGCAGTTCTATGTGCCCAGAGCTGCGTTCTCCCCCATAACAGCCCCCATCACACAGCTTTCCTGTTTCCACCCTCTCCCCGGGACTGGGGCTCCTGAGGTGGGTTCCGACTCTATTCCGGGACTGCCCAGCTCCCAGAGGCTGCACAGACATCTGCTGGGGCCCAGGGCCCTCAGGAGCGGATCCCACTGCACTCCACGACACTGTTCTGGCCTCAGGCTGAGTACCCCCTGGGGTGCTGGGCCCAGTTCCTGGGGATACTGGTAGCACTTGGGGGGGTCATAGAGCCACAAAGCTCTTCCTCTTCAGCATTCCATGTTTCCTGGGCTATGAGGAGTTCGGTTCTGGGTCAAGGAAAATCTGACCCCCACTGCCCACCAACTATGAAACAAATGAAGGCTTCACCTGTCACTGAGGTCAGTAACAATCTCTCCCCACAGGGTGTCGTAAGACCTGAATGCCAAGCTCTGAGGCGGTGGTAAGGGTTAAGCTCTTTCTCTTCCTTGGTGTGGCATTTGAGGCTCTCCCTGACCACCCATCTCCAGCCCTGTCTCCTTTTTACCCCAGGACTTCTGCCCTCTCCCAAGTAGCCCCTCTGGTGCTTCAGGTGAGAAGCAGAAACCCCCATGGCTGTAAGCTCCCCAGTAGCCCCCCAGAACCTCAGCCCCAAGATCTGAATATTCTGGTTTTTCTGTAGAGGCTTACAGCCCTTCACTGTGTTATGAGGCAGCCAGGAGCAGCTACTTGTGAGAAGAGATTCTCCAGACATGGGCGGAGACCAACCTGGGGCCCAGGCCACACCACTGAGGCTGGTGGTCCACGGTAGCCAGAGTAACCAACAGAGGAGAAAACAGGAGATACCCCCTTATCTGAAGAGCCTAAGTCAAGGTAAACAGTCAGGACCAGTCCTGGGTGTATCTCAAAGGTTGGGTTTATGGCAGCCCTGGCGCCCAGGGGGACCCCAGCCTGGAGGGTGAGGCCCCAGGAGGGAGTGGAGCTGAGCTCCATGCTGCTGGTGCAGGAAGTGTTATGTGCCAGGCCTTGACTACCTCATTTGTCCCGCCATTCCCCTAAGGCCAGCACTAACTCCCCCACTTCCAGATAAGGGAAGAGACTCAGGATGAAAAGCTTCAAGTCCAACGGGCAGGAAGAGCCGGACTCGAACAAGGTCTAGTCCACAGTCAGAGCCCACCTCTGCCTGCCCAGGCGGCCTGCGAAGCCCCAGCCAGCATCTGTGACCTACCAATGCCCCAGCCAGCAGCTCTCTGACCTAAGGGTCTCAGAACTGAACTGAGTGTGGTCTTTCTTTACCTAGAGATGAAAAAGTCCTGACCCGCCCAAGGTCATGCTACAGTCAGTCAGGCACTTTTGACAGCACACAAAACCAGCAATGGGGGCCAAGGATCCCAGGGGGGAGCCCAGGGGGACAGAGGGAGCAG